GTCAGTATTGTTATACCGCAAATCCCTTGCAAGAATGTTAGGCCTTGTTGCTGTTGGTTAATTAGATTGCAGGTAATTGTAGGTTCGGAAACTGTATTTCATTTAATTGCGCAGTACAAACGGCCAAAGAGTAGAGCCACGTGGTATAGAATACAGTGTATCACATTGTTCTGTCTATATTTATTAAAGATAAAATTCTTCCAGTTCAGTATCTTGCTCTCGGTTTGAACTAGAAATCATAAATCTCGGTGCCGCGGAAACAGTCTGGACAGAATGTTTTGCACTTTGGTTTGTTGTCTGATACTGCTGCTCTCCTCCTGAAATTGCACTTGAAAAACTCATCTATTTTTTGAGATGACCTACCGCTGAAGTGACAAAATCACCTAACTAATGAATTATGTCCGATAGGGTTACCTTCAGACAGACTGCTACTCTGGCGTTAAAGTAGAGCTTTGAGCAACTCAGCTGATGCTTTGTGCTGACGGTCTGTTGTGTATATCCATTGTGTGATGGAGATGATTGAGATGAACTCCTCATTGTAAAGATCCATGCCAGTTAAGCTTCGGTAAAATTCAGTGAACTAAAGAGTTCTGTAGCAGCATGACAGCCTTTCTGTAAGGCTACTGGCTAGTTACTTACAGCGGAAGACAATCATATTGCAACACATTACTTCTCTTTTTACTCCAACGAAGAGATTAGGATAAACCGAGTTGTGATTGTTTGTGCACCCTGGGTTACAACAGAAGTTGTTTTTGTGGCATTTACAGGTTGGTCAAATTGACCGAGGCCAGACTAGGCTGCGGGCCAGAACTTGTATGGTAACCCGTTCGGGTAGTCTTTACAATCACCGCCGTCCTCCGGTAAGTCGGTTCGGAAGTATCACAGTCACATAAGGCCATGAGATGTACGAATACCAGTTAACTCATGTCACATCGGTCGTTGCCTGGGGACATCCATCAGTTCGCCTTACTTACAACGGACTAATTAATCGAGGACAGACTACTGCTGACGCCTCCTGTTCTCCGTCAATGTTGTCTTCTAGCTTCCATCCCGTATCACTTAATGATTACTCTTTTTTATCACAGTCACAAGCACCACAATGATGCACCCGAAATATTAACTTATAGCATATCGTCCCATATTTCTTCCGCTTTGAGTTCAATTTCCATGGTTCATTTCCTTATTTTAAAGGAACCTTTGTTGCATAAACACTTAAGCGAATCGGCCAACAAGCTGGTCTTACGCACACTTTTGCTGTTATATCGATATATATATATATACATGGTGAGTCTTCGATGCGTTAATATAAGGTCACTGCATGTCGCTCTAGTTTACTCCATCAGCCCTATATAAATATTATGACTCGAGAAATTTCAACGATCCTGTAACTGTCGCGTAGCGTCTCATCGGTGTTGGCATAGTTTTCGTTTCCAGATGTGAGGCGATTTCGCTTCACTTGATCTGTTTAATAACCGTTTTCACAATGTTCGTCTATCAGCTTGCATAGAAATCCGCACCAGTCTGAATAAGGCCATCTTTTTTGTATACTGATATGTGCATGCTGTGGGTTGATTGAAACCGTTTTTTCTTGTTACTAGCTAATCTTTCATTCACCACGGGGAATTCTGATATTGTCCTGGTGACTGTTGACCCAGAAGCACAAGTAGAACATCACAGTTCATCAAGAGCGTAATCTGGTGACCTGTTCAACTCGGAATCAAAATTTAATGACAGTGATGGTCGTCATTTGCAGTTTTGAATCGATCACCACATTTGTTCCTAAGTGATATTGGGCTTAAAAGCAACATAAACCATTGCGCCAGTTCGCATCCTTCTACTGATGAATAGCTACAGACCTGGACTGACTACTTGGATTCAGATCACGCCATCGTTTGGTGGAGATTTTCCATAAGTTGCCGGGAGATCTAAGGAGGAACCTTCTCGTCCAGCCTGCACAATCGTTTCTGACTCACAAGTTAACCCGTTTAACATACTCTCGTAGGCGAAACCTTAAAGGCTACTTCCTTATGAGAAGTCAGTTGTAAACGGAACGAGGCAAGCCTGCCCCGGCTTGTGATATTTCTCAAGTTTCATTGAATTTCAGTTCCAGGATCCGACAATACTAAGGACAACTCAACTGGAAGGAATACTGCACGTCAGCTTAAGCACAATCTGCGTGAAGATAGAGCAACCTGCCTTAAAGTGAAGGAAGCTATCCTTGCCAGGAATGTTCATAAGCTTTTTCACCTGATACGCAATAAGGGACCTGTAAAAATTGACCGTTACTGAGTAGCAAACTGATTAAACAACAAGGATCCAAATCATGACCACTGGGTTGAATATTTCGGGAAACAGTGTTGTAGATCTTCTGCCTTCCTACCCATGTATTCCATTTGACCAGCTCCACTCGAAACATAGTCTGTCGGTTTGGTCCTATTTGATCTCCGAAATTATAATGTGCATTCTGCCTTTAAGGGTCCTCGAGCCGCTGGGCCCGAGATGCTCCAACCGTTGCTGTTCAGAAAAGTGTGGAAGTCTTTGCACCAAGTTTCACAATATATAGCTAATCCATCATTGTACCTTTATTCAAATAAGGTAGACGACTCAACTACCACAAAAACAAAAAACACGACGGATATTGATCTTACTCTGGTTGTAACACGGCTGTCAGCTTGAACAATACTGGGACCTCATCATGCGAGTTGCAAGTCTAACAGCATCAGGTAGGATATCAGCCAGGCAGTGAGTGAAGTGGCCACATCGTTATCTAGGTTCAACAGCTTGAGCTTAACGACTGACTTTTCCTTGCTTCGAAGGAATCTCTGACTCCGAGGCCGGGTCAGTTATTCCGCGTGAAAATGGACTCTAATTTGGTGAGTATTCCCCGAGCCATCAATTCCCATACTTCCGGTCACGTCAGGGTTTACAGTTGGTTACCCTAAACTTCTTCACAATTATCAGCGTTTTCCAGAGATGTTCCCTTCTCCAATTTTGTCTTATTTCCTTGATCAGTTCATCACAAAGCTTACTTTCTAATGGACCATGAATCTACGTGTTTAAAGCCATCTGGAGAATTATGGGTGCACGTAAAATATGCAGGTAACGTTGTTTTATTGTTAATAATACCCACCCTACAGAGAACATGAGAAGTGGTGCTCTTTTCGCCATGCATTTTGCCGTTCAAAATGTCATGTCTTAGTTCACAACTTTCCAGTCCCACCAATACCTTTGAAACTGCAGAATGGGGGGCACAATCCGTGAATTCATATTGGTAGATGAACTAACTTCGGGCGTTAACAAGGTAACAGCACTATTTTCCAACTTGAGTAATCCTTGGTGTAGGAGACCAATATCACTCAGGGTAAAGAGCCTCATCTTCAAGCTAATCGTGGTACAATGTAATTCTGAAAATTAACCCATTTGATCTGAAAACCTCAAGCTTCTTCTTATATCTTACCACTGCCGGCAGGCGTTGGCTGGCTTCAGCATATACGTAGTAAACACCTCTGAAGCCCTTATTGGGTTATCAGGCAGGCTTGATAGGAAAATAAAAAGACATTAACAGAATTAGGCCTGAGGAAGCCAATTAAAGTCAAGGAATGCTGCGTTTTCTACCCCAAACATTCGTCAGAGGATAGTTTGCAGAGAGTGAGCCATGACGTAGCAGGTTCAGTTTCAACGCTGTAGGAACTCCGCACTTTTCTGAGTGGGGTGCATGTAAAATTCTTCGCACTTGTTTGGATGCGCTGAAGAAGGTGACAAACAGGTGATGGTCATATGAAGATGCCATCACTTCTTAGCCAAAATGCCCGGTTTGCACTCATTTGTTTTGGAATGTTAGGCTCGCTTTGGAAAATCTTGCAGAGTTGCCTTGCTTTAACTCCGCCGATCGCATCATGCTTCAACCTGATGCTCAGATATGTTTATCTCAATAGCTTTGAAAAGTGTAAACCTCTTGCTCTTTGAGCCCTTCGAGAAATCAAGGGGATCTGTAATCGGATCATGCATTTCTTTGACCCACCACTAGGGTAATTTTTCTCCATATTTGTATGATAGCTAAGAAACATTTACTAGTACTATTGTTTTTCTGCCTGTACCCAATTTTCTGGATTTCTTAATCGTTTTGTGATATACAATGCGTAGTTTCTTCGATTTTTCGTTCTTTCTTCAAGCACCGGGTTTTGCAAACTTCAAACTGACGGGTGCTTGAGTAATTATTTCTTCTTCTGGTTTTTTGTTTGATTAAATACTTCTCGTAAAGAGGTGGCTAGGATACTCTGTTCTTCTGTCTGTACAGCTTGATCCAAACTGTGGCAGTGATAAGAAAAGTCGGAGAAAAGTCGGAGAGAAGTCGACTTCACTTACATTGACTCTTGAGGTGAAAGCATGCTCACTTTTATCCCAAACCTCCAAGTTAGTTTGGTATGTTGTTTTGAATGGAGAAAAAATCTCGCAACTTCCCAGTTCTCGCTAAGTACTGCAGCTTGGTGGTGCACCAGACACCCAAGAATATTTACTAACTTAATGTATTTCCGAATGAGATCACCGAAAATAAACCGATTTGGGTAGATAAATGGTAGCAACGTCTGGTCTTTCAAGAAAGTCAGACGAAAAAGACGCTAAAAGTCCCATGAGGCATTAACTGTTTCTCAAATGATGTGTCAAATCCTGTTTGAAGTACATATATACCACGAATAATTTTATGTGTAGTTCAGTGAAGACAGCTCACTTTCGGTAAGCGGGGAATCGGTGATTAGAATCAACCCCAAATTCTTTGTATTCCAAGCCTTACCAGATCCGCTCCAACCACATATCGAGCTCACGAAAGCTAAAAGAATTGTTGTGATTACTTGATACATTATGTCAGGAGAACCTGAACTGATATATTCAAGCTACCAGCGCGCAAACTTGCTGATTAAAACTTCGGAGATTAAAGCAAAAATATATTTGAGCTGTTTTTATACGACAAATTATTTGTTAGAATCACAATACACAATGTTCGGAATAAAAAATAGCATTTTGCTTCAACAGCACACGTGATAAATTTGCGTGAAAATGAGAAAAAAAATTGGGGAATCCATGTGCCCAATTTGAACATTTATAATGGACGGTGGTTTGCTTAGGGTCTTCGGCGGTGGGTGGATGTGTACATAGATATATTAAAACGGTAAACACTACAGCAATCTTGCGTAACACATCTGGTCTCTTGACTATTAAATACTTGAAAAATACACAAATATGTAAAATGGGAAACAAGATTTCACATGAGTTCGCATTTCTCGTTAGCCTCGGAAATGATTTTTTGTGGCAGCGCAGCCGCTTTGTTCGCAGCGTCCCGCAAGATTGGGGGCAGGTTTACTGAGCAAGAAAAGTGCGTCAATGAAAGCATTAGAAAGCGTCCGCATGCCTATGATTCGTACAGTGGATAAATACAGGAGACCGCCATCGTGGTAAACTGCTATCTGGCAAGCTGTAGATTACAGTGTGTGAATTCTGTCTAAGAGGCGAATAATTTTTCTTTCAAAATGAGTGATTTTAGAACTACCAAAGACTGTGATTGTTGGTGCAGAATAAATCTTTGGTTCGTTTGCAAAAAAAACGTTTCTTCATGCATATAATTTGTCACCACAAACAAACACTTTATTGATTAGCAGAAAATCCTTACTTAGGTACACCTAGTTGGTTATCAAGGTGTCCGACTTTCGTTTTCCAGTCGCATTTTCTCAAGAACCACTTAGCTTTTCCAGACAACTCAGATAAATATATATTATGCACTAGCACGTTCTGCCCGGCTGTACAACACATTGGATGCTGATCGCATCCTGGATTCAAAATATTAATAAACAATCATTCAGCTGTAACACCCTTTCGGTGCTTAGCTCCATGGCGCCAGCACGTTCTGCCCGGCTGTACAACACATTGGATGCTGATCGCATCCTGGATTCAAAATATTAATAAACAATCATTCAGCTGTAACACCCTTTCGGTGCTTAGCTGCCATGGCGCCAGAAGGAAGCACGAGAGCTGGGATACTGCCTAGTTGCCCGAGCCTAGACAAGGGAAGATGAGATGCAGAGGTCGGGTTTGAACAGCGGACATTAAGGCAAGTAGATTCGCTCTCTAACTACTGACCCATCTGGCCCCATCCTGGACTTTACACAAGGCTAAACTGCTCATCGAAATTCGGTGGATAGAGTGCCTCATTTTGGTTAGCACAATGGCTAGCTCTAGCTATCTTACCATAACTTGTAGCGGTGGGTCCTTACCTTTTTTCAATCCCCCGACCGTTCTCCAACAATTTACGTCACCTGGATTATGTTTTCTCACTCGCTGCCATAGCAATGGCGGCAAAATTAAAATGTCTGCTTGATCCGGCGCAGTCTACTTACCAAGGAGCAAACGAGATCGATGAAAGTAGAAATTCAACACGGGCAATTAGATGGGCTACAAACTTTCCGTATTCATAAGTCGGTGTTGTAAAGGACATATCCCAATACGTTTAAATATTGCAAACTCAGCTGTGACTGCACTGCTCCAACAAGCCATTTAGACTTATGGGAGAAGCAGCTTTGACGTCATAGATTATGCCGCTAAACTTGTTGCCTATTTTATGGATGTTATCAGATTAATAATTCCAGCTCTATTTAGTCAACGTCATATCAGGGTAATCTGGCCTACTTTTCTGGGATATGGCACCAGTCAGTAAAGAACATTCAGATTTTGACTGATCGCTTGTGTTTTGTTGACGTCATTCTAGCATGATCGCCCACTAAATGTTGACACCAAGAGTAATATCAGCCCACCCAGCAGAAATTGCCAATTTTCTACATTCATGTCCTTAGATTCTACAGAGATGTTCAGCATTTTTGACCATTGTCCTTTGTTAAATCTGCCGCAAACACAAGCAATCATGATTTAGAACTTGTACGACCAACGTGCTCTAGCGTCGTGATCTATGTGAATGTTCATTGTGTGAAGTAATTAGTTGTTTCCCTATTCCTCAGGCTTATTTATTACCCTTCCGGCGACTGCTCAAATTTCAAGACTGAACTATTCAATTTTATACAAATACGACTCTATATCAACCGTTTTCCTAAAGTCGATTTGTTCACATTCATTTCTGGGCTTGTTGTTAAAAATTTGTCCCACTTTGTACTGAGCAGCATTTCCCCGTTTAATTGGTCCGAAATCACACTACCCTTTCTATGCCAACCCGTGTTGCTCACTGCCCAAGGTTCAATCCAGCCGTAAGCCTTTCTCCAATTCTCCTCAAGATTTACTGTTAATTTCTTATAGAACCACGGTCTACCTATCTATACTGTCTGCCCACGTCTAATTTAATAGCTTGTTCACTACCCAATTGCGACTACTGAACAAACGCCAGTGAAGTTCGTAGAATTCGGTTTCGCCGCAATTATTACCACCGTCCTTCGGTAAATTAGACTACACGTCGTCTGTCAGATAGGACACCTACATCGTGCGTTTAGGCCTAATAACCAATTTCTTGCTTTGGGATCACGGCCTTAGCACAGGATAGTACACTTAATTTACTACTGTATGTAATCACTTACAGAGGTGGTTTTAATTGAACAAGGGACCAGTATTTCCCAATAATCGTATTCGGCACATATGTCACCTCAGTAAAACGATTCATTTTATCCTGGTGAATTTAGGAAAGGTTTCATTACCGGCAATAATCGCTGACTTGTATCGATATAAACTTGTGAGCTAGTTTGGGGAACATTCCATTTTTTCAAGATTACGTGTTTTTTCTCGTATAAGATCAGGGTTAGGTCTACGGCATGTCACTGTCGTGGACACGCAGAAAAGGCCGGTCCCACAAAAATGCCTGCCATGGAAGGCTGCGCAGGTCACCGCACAGTTGAATTTCCCAGCCCATACGCACATAAGATATTGTTATAAAACTTGCCCTATCCTTTTATACGTAGATTGCAAATGGCATTGGCAAGATTTTTATAAAAGCATTCACTCAGCTGAATTAAGTGCTCCTAGTTACGTTTTCCTACTTTATACGAGGCGGCTCAATAGCTAGGGCGCAAACGTGTTGGCTTTGAACACAACTCTTGCATCTCGACTACTTCTGTCTAGGCTTTGGCAGGCTGGAAGTGACCCAGCCTTTGTAACTAATTCAAATGGTATGACAGCTAGTCACCGAAAGGGTGTTACAGTTGAATGCCTATTATTCACTTGAAACTTTCCCAAAACGACTAATAGCAAAGTCGGGTTTTCGAAAAAGTCTTTACAGTTTATCAAACTCCATGATCAATTCCGTAGCTGGAGATCATTTCGTAACTGCTTACGGTTTCAGACAAATTCCCCAAGTTGTCCACTTCGCTTAGTCCTGCACCCATTTTTAGTCACAAAATTCCACGTTATTTTAATACGCACTCCAATTCTTTGATCCTGTGCTTCACTAAGCCTACTGTCAAACCTAATTCATCGCGTGCTACATTTCCATCATGGTTTTTTCGTCTCTACCAACCTCGTTACAAACATTCTGTGTTTTATTTGCGATTTGTCTTCATGCTACGTATTTGTATAACCAAGCGCACAAATACACTCTCAGCTTCATTAGAAATAGCCTAACCCTAAAAAGCACGATAGAATGGTCCAAAATATGATTTCACTGATGCAGTTGAAATAAAGCATTACAATTCTACGCATCGAACACGGTCAGAGGTGAGAAAAAGTATAATATCAAGATTCTTTCAAAGGACCTTTTAGTAGTATGAAAATATACTGATTATTGTTAGAAAGAGAATTGAGCTATGTTAGCCTCATATTTCTGACACGGTCTTCTGCTCACCTATCAACGCAAACTGACGAAAAATGGGAACAACAAAAGCAAGTCCATTTTATCCTCCATCAATCATTACACAATATACCTGGTAAAGAATCCTCGTTTGGGGTTCGTTTGGGTGCAGAGAGACTGGCATCCGACGGTCGCTGTGATGAAGCTGAGGACCTACGACGTGTGCTGATGTCTGCGACATCCAAAAAGTCCTTTTTCTTTATTCCATACTACAAGGAGAAATGAAGACAGCGACAAGCCTTATTGGGATCAAGGTACATTCCAGTCACGACGTGCAGTCTCACGATAGTCATGGGAGCTTGTAGTGAGCTACACCAATCCATCAGTGATTTCAGGCTCCATGTACAAAAGACAAAAGTGCACAAATCAAACAGTTTTGTGCGTTTTTCATGATTTCTCGACAGATCATTTCCCATGAAAAGCAATGCAGAACTGCATGTTATTCTTAGAAATTTTATCTCGACATTGAAACATTTAAATATCTGGCCACTATGTGACTCGCTTACTGAATTTTCATGGATTATGCTTATTTATCGTATTTTGAAGTGCATGTGTCGCAAGCAATCTCCGGGACAACAGCTCATGCCGTTTTAAGCTCCTCGCGGCTAGCAAATGTTTCTCATTGACAGCTGTCACGTTTTTTTGCAAACTGCCACTAAATGCAGCCTCATTTCTGCGGAAAATTGTCAGTTATCGCGTATTTAACTTTTGCACCTCCTACCGTTTATTCTGAACTTTGGGATAAAAATCGGTAGACTGAATGGACTCCACAAATCTCCACATATAATGCAAGTGAACACTAGTAGACGAAACAGAAGCAATGCGAAAATGGAGCGTAGTGTATTTTTCTGAAGATCAAGTACTGTGTGAACAGGTTAGCAACTGCAAACTGTCTTCGTTGATTCGGCGGTGCTAAACATCAAAACCCCTTTTGGAAACAGTAGGCAAGGCGAACACAACTACACAGTCCACTGCTTCCCTCCAAACGGAAGGTTGGTCCACGAAGACATATACTTCCGATACGACGAAGCCTTTAAAGGCATAGCATAATGAACCGCAAACTATAACCAGTTAACGATTAGAAAACACTTGATGTCCAACAATGACGTACGACTTCGCAGTGCTAATGACGCCGTATAACTTATCCAACATCAAATGACATCACATGGAGGATGGACCTCAATGGACCTGAATGCAATACATTTGGTTTCATGTTCAAGCGGTCTACCGTGCTGAGATATTTAATTGCCTTGATAAGGTGGCCTGTATTATTTTTAGCCGGTTGTTTAAGTGACTGAGTGATACTGATCAATCAGCATGGCGAATTGAGCTGTCCTTCAAAGCCCACCGGTGGACATTTGGGCGGAATAATCGTGTTTTTATGTTACCAAGAGTGGTCGACGATTCAGATTATAAAACAACCATGATTTTAGGGTAATGTTTTTCCCGGTGATCAACCTAAACATGTGTACAACGTATTCATTCCTCTTCCACTGAATACAGTGCGGATGTTCCACTCTCCTATATGTTCTACACTAACCACATGATGGCGAGTCCTCGCGTGGCTTTCGATAGGAATTTCTATAGCTAAATTCATCGCCACACGTGGCGAAGGACGACTCAAAACAACTGCTACATCTTTCTTGAATAGGAAAAAACGCGAAGCTGACTGCTTCTCAGGTGTACATTCTCTGGTGCTGCCATTTGATCTTGTGCAGAAAGTGTCGCATCAAAGGCCTGTGATCTTCTTCTTAATTAGGAAAAGTCACTTTGAAAACCTCAAAGGATTTTTAATGTTCGGATTGTGAAACCACATTTTAACTTTGTATAATTTCTGCTTGACTGCTCGTATTGCAAGCGATATGTAGAAATTGTCGAACGTTATTATAGTGAAACACGTGTGGTACATTGGAAAATGCAGTAGCTAGCGAACTCTAATTAAACTTCCTTCTGTTGGCAACGAAAAATAAATTTGGAAATCCAAACAATGCCAAATTTGTTCTTCCTGGGATTCGGTTGTTGTTTCCAATTACCACATATTTCCTCAGGTCTGTTTTCTTAAGTTTGATTTACGAACTCAGTTGACTTCAGGCTTTTTATTGCGGATTTATGATTGTTCATTGCGCATTCTCTGCCCGTGACACAATGCGATTCGTGCACTGAGCTCACTAATAAGTGGAAATCCAAAAATTCACTTATTCTCAGCGACCACAGTAATGGCAGCTGTACGAGAATTAGCAGAAGATAACTTGATATCATTTTAAACATGGTCAGGATTGACAATTCAAGGCTTGTGCCTATACAGCCTTCTTAGTAAAGTTGACATACCCTCTCACCTTACTATTGATGCTCTGGTTAGGTTAAGGGCAGGAACTCAGATTAATTTCTACAGCTTGTGCATATTGGTGGGACCCAATAAATCCAACTGGAGGGAAAAGTTTTGTTAACTTCGCAACTATTACAAGAAAGTGTATTGTGGTTGCAGTAAGGGTGCTCCAATTTTATACGCTGTCTCATCTGGTTCAGATACCACGTCATTCCGCGAATTTTCATCAAAAAGGATTTTACCTTCAGAATATCTCGCCTTCAAAAACATTTGTATTCTACAAAATCCGTTTTCGACTTGTGGAACCAATTTCGCACGGATGTCCATCAAGAAGGCATCCTAACTTCAGACGTTATAATTCGGCACAAAATGGTCTTTTTTCCACAACCTAGCCATTTTAATCTTTTCCCACCGGTTTTTATCGAATTACTCCCGATAAATATTCTGTTAATTTGTCATTTATGTGCGCACGTACAAAAGGAGGTCTGCGTATTGACCAAAATACAAATATTTGCAGTTGCACGTGCCTAATATCACGAACATCCAGGAGCCAAACCATCACACACAATGTTGAATTTGTTACTAGGGATAGGTGTTATCTAATCTATAATCAGACACAGAATGCTTGCAAACACCTAGGTATATAAGAATTCCAGTCAGAATCCTCGGGTCGGTTCTTTTGAACAGATTGAGAGCGATATGTTGCATAATACAGAGTGTAGAGTCAAAACATAGCATGGTGGCAAAGTTTCTACTTTATGGGTAACCTTTTCCAACGACTTGTACCACCAATTAAATATTAGTCAATAGCAGCTTTATTCGTAAATGATTAAGACCATTTCAAAAAGAGAAACTGTACAAATCGCGTCTACCAAATTCCCTGTGAATATTGTCCAACCAAATACATGAGTCAAACAGCCAGGCAACTTTATGGTTGGATCACGGAGCATAAACAAGGTGAGCGTTTACCACCACTAAACCCAACCCATTTAAAAATAAAATTCGATCACTCTGCTACTGCACTCTGCGCATGTGAATCAAGCCAAAAAAATCAAAATCGCTGGTACACGTATACCCTAGTCACTATTCAACTCACAATGATCAGCCTATCCAAGCAAAGTCGAACGTGGTGATGGAGCCAGCGGACAGAGGAATCACTAAGCTTACAAAAATGGCCTCCGAAAAGTACTGAAGAATGCTGCCACATTCTGGCTTAGGCTTGCTGTACGCCTCAGCAGGCGTAGTAGCCATACGTCGCGCTCACATCTAAAAATGGCGCAACACAGCTATATAACAAACAAACAGTAGCACATTTCAGTCAGAGTACGTGGCCAACACATTCACCAAAGACGACGACCGAATGATCTCAGGAACGAACCAATCTAAAGATATGATTGTGGACCCAAATAACGGTACACTTGACTTGTATTTGACTGACTGTAGAAATACTTGAAAGAGGCTTCCCATGGCCACCGAAAGTTTGAGTTATAACATCATATTCTACTATGCTATATTGACTAATTTACCATAGTCAAGGTGTACACTTCCCGAATTCAAAGCAGTTTGCCTAATTATGCCAGATATCAAATGTATGCAAAGAAATTCAACACCCTAACGCTGTTAATAAGTGAACTGACATGCGGTTCCTAAGCAACTGATAGCGTCTTGTAGTGCAGACCTAGAAACGGCTTGGCAATTCAAGCATCGACATTATTCGAGTCTGTTGAAGAAACAATTGGACCTCCTACTTCGTCTTTATCGATCGACTTTTGTAGTCAGTGGTTGGGTTTAAATTCGATAATGACAAACGTCCCTTCTGTTCATGATAGTAATGAATTCACGAATGTGTTAGCAAATGTGCAGTCGTCTGTTTTACGGTCGTGTTTTCGGTTTTCTGTTTTTAGATATGGACTACTCTAGAAATGAACCAAGCCTCGATCTTGGGGCACTGCAGTTGAGTTATTGTACTGAAATCCTTTAACACGGAAAAATGCACAATAATCCATGTGTGTTAATCCATTTAGCTTATGTGGTCGTTGGCTTGTTCTCTGGTTTGGGGGATTTATTGCAAACGCAATCGAGGTGATATCATCAGTGCGTTGTTGGGGAGCGTAGTGGTGCGTAGCGATGGGTTAATGGTTGTGCACTACTACCACTAACACTACCCACTTCCATCTACGCTACCTGAGCTACCGACATTTTTCTCTATAGAAAATTTGGCTTATGTCTTCTGATCACATAGACTCACAGCTTTGAACGTTATTAACTCTAACCTAGGGACTACCATCTCGGAGGAACAACTCCTTTGGCAAAAGAAAAAGCAGTTCTGTGCTTAAATTTATCTGGCTTTGGCCGCATTGTAGTTTTTATACTTCTATCATTCGACCTGGAAATCTCACTCTAAGTAGGTTACAGCACTATCTTGAGGCGTGCTCAGCTTGCTTTTGCGTTGTATTCTGCTTTCTTTGAAAGTGTTCGTCGCCAATATAGAGAAGACTGAAGTGGATTGAAGAAGTGCATGGGCAGGATATTTCAGGATGCGTTACAAAGGGGGACGGATAAAGAAATAAGTTAACATCCAAAATTCCAGTCAATTTGCTTCTCATGTTTGTCTATTCATAATTTGGATCATCTGAAAAGTGCATCCATAAAACAACCGATATTTTCTAGCAGAAGCCTAGGTTGTTAACTATAAATTATTCTGGTAAAGTGCAGCTCCGTGATCCACAATGAAAGGTTATCTTTCAAAGTTACGTCGGACAGTTGCTTGGACTGGTTTTATGACGTTATTATGACGCCATCCATGACGTTTTACCATTAAACTGGGTATAGGTAGCAAAGGTATTAGTACACTTCTATGAATGTGGCATTATTCTCCAGTACTTTTCGGAGGCCATTTTTGTAAGCTTAATGATTCCTCTGTCCGCTGATAGCACTTCTAAGGGGCAATTAAGCCGCACGTTTGCCTTGATAAATCATTAATTAACGTTCACAATTAATTCCTTTAGCAGAATAACAGATAACAGGATAATAGAACTCTCCCATTCATATCGAGCCGTAATTTCCCTGTCAGGACCATGCATGACATGCACAAACCTATAGCTGTTTTCCCCTAACAATATAGAATTTTTAGCATGTTGAAGGTTAGAATAGGGATTGAGTTCCGTGCTAATAATCGCTTTTTCTTCTCAGTTTGAGCAGCATAAATCTTGGGTTTCCTTTCTAATTTGGCATAAAAACAGGCATACTAAGTGCCTAGGTCATTATTGCCTGCAAAGTTTCAGCAGAGTAACTAACTACTTCAGGGAATAGTTCCTTCAAATTACGCACCATCTCGAGCTATATTTAAGCATGTAATATCTTTGCATTTCTTAAATAGTTTCGGATGGCTATTTCTAATACATTGTTCGGTATTTCTAAATTATCTGATACATAGGACAGCTGCGCTATATGTCATTCACTAGGCAGTACGGAGTCTTCGTAGGGCCTTCAAACCAATATGACCTGTCATGCGGCATGACCCTCATTGAAAAGCATTCATTGTCCAATATTTTGAAAATTCGTTCAACCTTGGTTAGCCTAATCAACACCCACACGTCAGAGCTATTCAGCTCATTTTCCAAGGAATTTTATCAGCAGGTCATATTCAAAAACATTGATTTGCAAGGCAAGCATTCTGATCCCTTCGCTAAAATAATTTTCTGTTCAAGGCAGACGACATGGACCGTTAAGTTACTAGAAAACGCTTATGGATGTTTTCTTAACGAATCTCGTTTGGCTTATTTTTATCTACCTCAGATGCACAGGCACGTTATCCAGTCCAACAGTACCATACAAGTAATCCATGGGGTTAACTAACCTTATCACGTATCGTTTGCCGAAGAACTTCACGTTCCTCTTCCATATTTTCAAATTTTTCCCGACGTTTCTCTTCTGCAGCTGCCAATTGAGCTTCCAATTCCTCTTCGCATGCTTGCTTTGTGGTGACATCCTTGGTGACATCTAAACGTTTACGTGACCATGTCAGTAACGTACCAGGAAATCACTAACAGACATGTTATATCACATAATTAAACATCCCTTATTGAGTGCGCTTTTTGGTAGTGAATTATGACACTCTGCGTTAATCGTCTATGAAAAAATTGTAAAGATGAATGATCCTGAACAGCGAAAACAATTTTGGTCCCGAAATGTGGATGCAACTACTTAATTGATATACACGGCATATAGAGTACCCTACACAGTGTTGATTATAAGTGGAGAAATAACATGAAGGAAACTACTCACAAGGCTGCTAAAAATTCTTCGACAGCCCACAGCTGGTTTCGCCCTCCTTGGTGCTCATCAGGTAGGCACGGTCCCCGAGTTTCCGTCAACCCTATGTTTTACTTGAATCCAAATTGCACTTATTGGGATAAATAAACAGATTTGCAGATCAAGTTGTTTTTTTTACGGAAAACTCAAGTGAATCTCTCGTTCATGATGTTCTCAAACTGCATGTGCTGCACAAAGGCTGCCTCATGTTTCATTTGGTAATCTATTCGAAATATCACAGTATATTTGCATAAAGAAAGCTACTCACACTTTTGCTGGAAACTGTTTGACAGTCCAATTTGGGTCCAAGTAGGATATAAGGTTGTCGGTAACTCGGAAACTGTGCCTATCGATGGGCCCCAAGAAGCGTAAAACCGGTCGTGGACTGTCTAAGAGTTTTCAGCAACCCTGTGGGTAGTTTCCTTTATGAAAACATACCGCGGTATTTTGAATATCGTACTAAATGAAACATCAGGCGCCCTTTATGCACCATATTCAGTTAAAAAGCATCATATACCAGAGATCTTGAGTCTCCCGTTAAAACCCAATTGATTTGCGATTGAATTTATTTGTCATAGGGGGGAATGACACTTTTATTAGTCATCTTTCCGCGCTTATCTAATTTTCCAAATGAAATACAAAAGTGAGGTCATACATATTTCGGAATTGAAAAGTTGCGCACAATACTGTGTTAATTTACATTTTGATCATCGCGACAGGCATCCTACAAGACTAAAAATTATGACCCAAAAGCAACGGGTTTTTAATACCGTCTTCTATGACACTAGGATCCAATCAAAATGATACATGACTACGTTAAATTAGGAATAGCTTGTGCAGAAGTGTTGGGAGGAGTATTGTCGTTGAGAAACGTCACCTGGGATAATGAATGTCATGATAATGAATGATGACACAATGAAACCTAGCGTAGGCAGCAATGAGTTTTTAGTGATGAAAGCTTGATTTAAGTAGTTTGGCTGAACTCAGTTTGTAGTTAGCCACTTGACGTAAAAGAATTTACTATCTAATATAGCTCTGTTGCGCTTCATGCGATTGTCAAAATATTCACCGTAAGCATCACCGAATAAGCACTTTCCCCAATAGCTAAATTTAGGGGCGATATGTGCTCCAACCTTGTGGGCACATGTTTATTACATATTCAGAGCCATTCAGGTGTATTTCACCTGTAATCAGCGTGATATTTCGTACACAAGTCAGTGTTTAAAGAATGCCCACACACCACCAGTCGATAGATGCTGTACGAAATGAATATGCCCGAACAAGGAAGCAAACGGAAAGGAAAAGAGGCAGACAGCTTATCAAGCTCAATAAATCAAAGTACGTTATATTTTGTCAAGTCAATATGACCGTTCTTCCGAACTAGAACAGCTTCCCAAGGTACCTGAGGCTGCCCGTATGCACCGATGAGAAAAGTTCTGTCTGGTTGAATGTATCTAAATCATTTAGCTACAACAATTGAAGTAGAGTAAAATACATTGGCCGGTGCACTAAAGTTTTAAATGTTATTTTTAGAGTTTAAAACATGAACTTAACCCGCCAGCTACTCACTTATCACAAGGAAGTAAACTTTAAGAATATCTGGGGACTCTGTATTTGACTCCATGGACTGCCTCCGTATAGTTTTACCCAACTAATTTTGAGACTTAGCAGTTCTTCACTTGTAGACTGTGTTACATTCACTTTACAAATGTAATTCATCTGGGGCCGAGGCTAGCAGTTATAGGATATGATTTATCTGTTTACTGGTTAATCGTGGCCCCTTTTCAGCTGACGCCAGGGCTTTGGTGTGGCTTATCAGAAGTTCGCTACATCAACTCGGGCAATGGCGAAATCGTCTCCCTGTTTCATCCACTTAGATAGTTTGAGAGAGGAATCAGAGTATTTTATGTTCAGGAAGGCATATTACTGGTTTTTTCCTAGTTTCTTTTATTCGAGTAGCGCAAATCGTATGCGTTCTAGACGCTAACAACGGTAACAACGCAGTGGTGAGACATTTTGCTTGTTTCACGAGTTCTTCAATGGTAGTGTTGACACGGTGACAGCTCGAAAGCTGTGAGAACGTTCTTCGGAGGTGTGTCCAGAGAACAGGATCTCTACAGCGATTCTGTTACAATAGAACTGTTCTATCAGCGACTAGTTTTTTTTACTTTCCTTACAAAGGCAGCTAAAGTGCTACATTGTTGTAGAATATTTCGACGTTATGTTTGACAAGCATTGAGACAACAGTAACGGAATATAACTTATTTGGTTTGCCTATCGTTAGATTTCTCTTCAAATTTACAGTGAAATTTAGTACGTTTCCATACTGAAATATTTAAATTTTAGTCATGTCAAAATTATACTTGGTCAATGAAGCAATAAGTCGATTCATTTGTTATTGCAAACAGCTATTAGTACAGGCTGTTTACTTGAAAAATTGCGAAAAACTTGTGGTCTCTTTTGATGAAAATCGGATAAGAGCACCGACATTGTCCTACCTGATACAGATTACTTTGAAAACTTGGAAGTTCTGAGCAAAGTGTGCATTCAATTGAAAAATCGACAAGGAAGACAAAATGCTTCAGACACAAAAGTCATATCCAAAGTATTCCAATAAAAAAGACACAACCCAACTTGACCAAAATCCACAACTCAATGGTGTCACAAAGTTTGCTCTTGGATAAAAAAATTATGTAATTACCATCAAGAGAAAAAACATGTTCCTTTTAGATACGCGCACCCGCTATTCTTTAAAAGAAATCACTCAATGATTGTATCATGGTCGTTGGTTTCTTTGCTGAGCCGGGCAATTTGATTGTAAACGTTTCATCACCAATCGACGTGACATCATCAGTGCGTTGTTAGGGGGCGTCGTGGTGCGTAATGATGGGTTGATGGTTGTGATTGCATCATTTAATCTCAATCGCTACTGATGCTTCCACTGGCGGTCTAAAACCTCTGCTATACTTTAAGCACACAAAGCATGCTGATTCTATCTGACGATGAGATCTGCCGCCTTAAATTTTCTATCATGACCAAACACACTACTGTCTTATTGTCAAAACTCTAGAGTGCCGACTTGAGTCCTGACACAAAATCATGTGGCTTCTTCCAGCTACACGCCATTGAAATATTCAGGGGCGAACAGCACCCCTGACAGCTTTCAGTGAAACATGATCGTAGAAGTGAGAGAAGAGGAAGGGTTTACGTCCAAAACCCTCAATATATTAAAAAATAGAACAAAGAATTTTCGTCGGAGGAACACTAAATGATCAATACAAATGTTTTTTAACGACTTTCATGTCATACCGCGAGCGTCTACACTAATAATAAGTTTAATGAACGATTCACAGAAAATTTACGCCGGGGCATGTTAGTAGAAGGGATAATATTCTTGCGTGAGGTTTATAAATAACGACAAATTACGAATACTATTAGCCGAAACGTTGCGGCGAACAGTCAAGGCACACCAAGCAGATCAAAGGGAGTTCGAATATAGGTTATTCCTAGTTGAACGTGACCACTTTGCCTAAAAGTGATGTGAATGTTTCTGTCCCTTGAACTAGAACTGAAACACCGCCTAACACCTTTTCTCGTACCTCGCCAAATGTTTTGTATTTTGTCCCTTTTTCACTCCTGTAAAACAAAAGACAACGACCATATAACTCGCTCTCCTCTAGAAATGCTATCTCATGTCTTTTTGCCATTCTATCACTACCATTTAAAAGCCTAACTTCTTAATATTATCAATCGCAGTTTGTCGATCAGCTTGCGTACTGTGCGAAAGTTAATAATCCTATAGCAGGAAACTGAAGAAAAGTGCATAAGCTATATATATGTGATAAACATACGGTTAACTGGCTCAGACGTTCTGTTTAAATAAATTACAGATGCCCTGATAGTAGGTTACTCCTCGACCTTTTGTTTGTCACCGCTTATGATTTATAGACTGAAGACGAATAAGGGATGCCAGGAGTTTCGTGTGCCCATCTGACGTTTTGGAGCACACGTGCTGTCCGTTATGCCTATGCTGTTGCCAAACTAATAAGTAGTGTTGGGTGACTTAAACCTTTGCATTTGTGGAAGGATGCTTATCCTCATCGACGATCGAAAAATCTTTTGGTTTCGTAACATACTGAGGGCCAACGGAACGCGCTTCCGCTTAGTTGTTGGCTGCTCTTGAGGGAAAACCTGGCCGATTCTAGTCGCTATGCCCGTTTTAAAAGATCCAACACAGGTTCCCACATCTTCACTATTCACTACTGCATATGCGATAGCCACGACAGAAAGTATTTTTGGATAAAACGCCAATGTACCTGGAAGTCATAATTCAGTATATTGACAGCAGACGACTAAAATGTTCAATTTATCACCTAAACTGTGCCGCTGCTGTTGAAAAGCTTTGGAACATATAGTACATCTACCCTAAATCCACCAACGGAACACAAACCACACTGTGGCTCTTGTTAATTTCTTCATGTGAACCGACTTCCGCTATTTAAAGTACATGTGCTGACGTCAAACGCGACGCCACATCACGACGCATTAACGACAACACATCTTTTGTGATCTGGTCTGAGTGGTTTCTTGTTAATGTGCCGTATACCACATGTGTAGAGCTATCGAATGAAAAATGTCTTGCGGTTTCAATGGGACTGAAAGTAACGAAGCCAGAAAACAAGAGAATA